GGGGGGGGAGAAGAGTGATTCACGGATGTAAAAGAGACAGATGGACACAATGGCAGAGCAAAGGCAAGATGAGTACTGTGAAAGTGGTGGGATATGAGATACAATCGAGTCATGGTAGCTTGAAGTTACAAGTCAACTGCCGGTTTATAGACATTTTTGCCGTTTGAGTATACGTTACCCAGGGTACACCACGTGGAAGTAAGCCTATCGCGCCCCATATACAAAAATAATAATAACATTCATTTTGCACTTTTAATCCTGAGAAAATGGATAAACATGAGAAAAACCAAAATAATCCAAACAGGAAATAAAAAAAAGGAAGTAGGGAGTGTGATTGGGGTCGTATTTCAAGTTCATTCTTGAATCATCGGTTTATGCATATTTTGCTTAATGTCTCAGACATAAACTTTCAGGTTTTGACACCTTTGTGCCTGAGCGACTATTCTTGTCTTCAGTGTTCTGATTAAAAAAGTCAGTTGATTAAAATTAGTAACCGATCATGGTGACTCAGTAACTCTCTAGAATCGGCTCTTTCTAACTAATAGCCTTGACCGATCAGTCTCTATGACATCTACCTTCGCCTTAGTTGCCAATGCTCAAAAGAGACAAAATCGGTTAACTACCTCCTCATACCTCATTTTTCTAATCCTCTCGATTCCATCTTCCGCTCATTCATTTCCAGTCGGTCAATTCCTATTTGTTTAATCGAACTCTTTGTCTTTTCAATCGTTAAATGCCATTGTTTCCTAATAGCCTAAGAAGGTTCATTAATTCCATGAGAGAAAATGATTTCTTTCTTGGTCAATCCCCCCCCCCAAAAAAAATATTTTTAATTAGGGGATTAGGGCCACTCTACGCCGACATTTATACCAGTTGAAAGGGTCTCTGCAAGGTTAGCTTTTTCAATTTCTCCCCAGTTATCCACAAATAGACTGAAAAATTAGTATTACACCTTCAAATCTTTGATATTGATATCTAAGAAAGTGGAAGAGAGATCGTTTACTCAATATGTGATCAAGACACCGTAAAGTATTTATAACAAATGGCAGGCATTTTGATAGTTATCATTAGTCCTTTAGTTGACTTCGGGCTTCACAGAGGGGAGAAGGAACACCAAAGAGAGATGAAGTGGAGAGGGGAACAGAAGAGTAATTCACAGATGTAAAAGAAACAAACGGACACAAAGGCTCAAAAAGGGTAAGATGAGTACTGTGGTAGGGGTCGAATATGACATACAGTGGGGGTGATGGTTGCTTGAAGTGAGAAGTCAACTGCCGGATAATAGACTTTTTTGCCGTATGGTTATACGTTGCTCAGGGTGCACCACGTGGAGGTAGGTCTATCGCACAGAGACACCGTAAAGTAATTTACGGATAACAAAGCATTGAAGGAGATCTTTTTGGTATCTTCAAAGTCCTTTTATTTTCTTTCATCCTGACTGAGTTCAAGTAATTCCCTTCATTCAAAACGGTTCCTAAATCGAATTTTTTAAACGCTAGAATATTTCCTTTCAACTCACTTGACTACTAGTATATAATGCTCGCATACGTAAAATTTTATAAACCTCACACATAGTTTATTAGATCTACAATTCCAATGTGACGTTCACACGGTCATTAATTTTTCACTAGTTGCAAGAGTGATTGTACGCAGCTTTGTTAACTTGAAGTGAATAAAAGGTTTAAACTTTATGGTCAATTCGATCAATGGTATGAGTTTCTCCATCAGAGATTCTCTAGTTTGTCTTCTTTACACTCTATGTGTTCCGATAAAATGGTTTTTTACTATTCAATCCACTTAAATTGGCTGTACTTGGAGTATCTTGAAAAAAACTTTTTTCCTCTTGTCTTTAATGGTAAGCAAGTTAAAGTCTGATCAAGGTACTTTTTTGA